GTCAAGAGTTCTGATTTACTACCTCCGCAATTTTGTGTCGTCGAGGTCTCGTGACCTGAACAATGAAGTCATTCTGTAGCCAAAGCCAGGTGCTTTAAGTACCTCATGTCAAGACTAAGAGGACTAAAGCAGATGAGAACTCGTACAGTCCGTTAGTCCTCTCGTCTCTGGACGTCATGGATATCATTACTAGACACCTTTATGGTCTTTTGTCCAGTGTTGTGCTTCTGAGGTAGCGCCTTGGGCTGCGATGGACATACAATTTTGTTATATAAGTCCACTAAGCTGAAGGAGGAAATAAGAGTATCTATGAGTATAAAATATGAGTATACTTTCAGTTTCTCCAGTTGGAAATCATCATGCACTTTAAGATATAAAATCGAGAAATTTGAAGTCTCCACATTGTAAACTTTAATCCCTTAGGACAAAACGAAAGAACATTGAAAAGACAAATGTCGGACTGAGTCACAGGCATATTGTTTTGGTCTCCTGGTCTCCTCTAAATACCGTTTCTCGTCTTTGGATTTCTCCCCATGGAAACTAATACACGCTACGGCCTTTCAGAAATGATCATTCTTCTCATGGCAGCCTTTTAAAAGATAGTAAATTTCTTCCTCTTTTTTTTTTCTTGCTAAAAGTTTTATCCTGAGTACATTAATGTGTTCTAAATCTTAACGCAAAAAAATATCGCATCCGACCACTTAAGATATTAAAGACGTTTGATCATTCCCTCTGTTATCCACTTCACTGCCAGAAACAAGAATTTAGGTCAAAGAGTAAAAGCACGTTCCTGCGTTTCAAAATCCCAGTTTATTTGACATAAGAATTCATTGAAGTGAAGGGTACATTTTTTTGTTTGAAATTTGAAGTAAGTGGTTTGGTTACGTAATTGTACCCTCTCAACCGTCAACATTATAGACCCCACAATGTAATTTAGCGACAGTGGGCTGATCTTGCGGAGACATTCGTGTTTATAATAGGTATGGGGTATGGGAGAGGGATGAGGGGTATTTGGGGTATTGGGGGTATTGGGGAGATGGGGGATTGACGGATGAGGGTAGGATAAGAGGGAGGGGGGAGGGATCAAAGTTTGGAGCCGGATATGAAGGGTTTATTTAATTCTTCGGCGTAAAGGTTTTATCGCCATCTCTCCCTTTTCCCCGCCCTTCCAGAGACACAAAAAGATACCAAGCCACAAAGAATGATGTGATTTTTACTTTTAAAAAGTAATACACGTAACATAAGAATTCGCTTCTACTTTTAGCCCAACCAGAGAGCCCAAGACAGCTCTTGGCCAGACAATGAAGAGGATAAATAAATAATTAATTAATTAATTAATCAATGTTAGGTGATTTCCAGAATTAATCCTTCGAGGTGGGCCGTTAACCTATTTTGGCAAAAAGACAATTGAGGTAAAACTATTTTCATGTTTACGAACATCCTTTTGTTTATTTGTGAGCTTT